CTCCTTCCTGCTGGTGGGAATGCAGACTTATACAGCCACTCTAAAAATCAGTATGGCAGTTTCTCAGAAAATTGAGAATGAACCTATCTCAGGACCCAGCAATACCACTCTTGGGCATATACCCAAAGGGTGCTCAATCATACTACAAGGACATTTGTTCAGCTATGTTCATAGCAGTATTATTTGTAATAGCCAGAACCTGGAAACAGCCTAGATGCCCCTCAACCAAAGAATGGGTAAGAAAAATGTGGTACATTTACACAATGGAGTACTACTCAGTGGGAAAAAACAATGCCATCTTGAAATTTGCATACAAATGGATAGAACTAGAAAAAAACTATCCTGTGTGAGGTAATCCAGACCTAGAAAGATGAGCATGGTATGTAGTCACTCATAAGTCGATACCAGCTATAAAGCAAAGAACAATGAGCCTATAATTCATGACCCTAGTCAAGCTAAGTAACAAGGTGAACCTTAAGAAAAACATTTATAGAATGCCCCTGGGAAGGGGAAATAGACAAGATCTCCTGACAAAATTGGGAGCATGAAGGTCTGGGGAGAAGAGGAAAGGGGAGAAGAACTTGAAGGATGAGGTACGTGAGATGGAGGAAGAACAGAGATGGAGAACAAGGAAAGAGATATTTTGATTGAGGGAGCCATTATGGGGCTTGCGTGAAATCTGGTACCAGGGAAATTCCCAGGAATCCACAAGGATGACCCCGTCTAAGACCCTAAGCAACAGTGGAAAGGGTGCCCAAACTGGCCTTCCCTTGTAATCAGATTGATGAAAGTCTTAAATGTCACCATAGAATCTTCATCCAGCAACTGATGGAAACAGGCAGAGACCCTCAGCAGAGCACTTGGCTGAGCTCCCAAAGTCCAGTTAAAGTCCAGTAAGAGTGAGAATATGAGCAAAGAGGTCAAGACCATGATGGAGACAACAATTGAAGCAGTTTACCTGAGCTAACCAACTACAGTCGGACAGGGAAGGAACCAGCATAGGGCCAAACTAGGCCCTCTAAATGGGGGTGACAGTTGTATGTTGGGGCAGACTGCAGGGCCACTGGCAGTGTTACCAGGATTTATCCCTACTGCTTGCACTGGCATTGTGGAACCCATTCTCTTTGGATGGATATCTTGCTCAGCTTAGATATAGTAGGGAGTGCCTTGGTCCCTTCTCAAAGTAATGTGCCTTACCCTCTCTGAGGAGAGAATGGGTGGAGTGGGAGAAGACGGAGAAGGGATAGGAAGGAGGGAAGAGAGCGGTAACTGGGATTGATATGAAAAATGAAAAAAGATTGTTTTAATTTTTTAAAAATTAAGTGAAAAAATAAAATAAAAGGTGAAACTGGATAAAGATTCGGAATTGGTGAAAGACTCAAATCCTCAAATTCAAATCTGGCATAGTAGAAATAAACAAGAATCCCCCATGTAGAACATGCCACCCAAAGTACAAAATAAACATCAGTGTGGGAGGTGACAATCCTAACATTTATCAAAAAGATGAAGATTAGATGCCACAAAAGGAGAATGATCTGTGAACAGACCCAATGAGGACAACAATAAAGATACAAGGAGACGAAGAGACCCCTAATCCCATCAACCAGATTCCTCGGCACATTTTGTGTCATTCCTGATTGTGACCAAAAGTTCCCCGGAGAAGTCATCCTGACAGAGGTTGGTACAACAGACCTGCTCTGGTCCAGCAGAGATTTTTGTGGGACGATTGTCTAAAAGAAGAAAATTGAAGTTAGAAGCAAAGTGTGTGAAGGCAATGCTTCATCAGAGATCAGAAAGCTGTTGGTCTGTCTATATTCTAGCTACCAAGAGAGGGGAGGGACATATGGGGGGCTCTCTATGGCCATTGGGGGCTATCCTGGGCTTATTCTGATCTGGGCATGTGACCTGATGACTTGCTTCTTCCCAGTTCTTCTAGAGTCACTGAGAATGCAATGGAAATCCAAGGCCTCACACTCTAGAGGGAGTAGAAATGGAAAGGATGGTTATGTCGCCCATCTTCATCCCCAGCTTTTGCATCCCCCAGTGATGAATTCAAGGTGAAGTTTCCTGATTTTTCTTGGCCTTCAGGTTCTGGGCAAAGAGGAAAATACCTACATTTTGTCATGTGACCTCACTGAGCAAGAGTCCTGTGGTTACTCAGTAAAATCCCCCTTTTAATAATTCTCTGTTAGTAGAGAACCAAGGGAAGTGGATTGAAACCAATTTCTCGGATAAATAGGTGGACAAGGACTTGGCACTTATTTAAAGTTGGGCAGGCAGAAAATATTGGAAAATAGTCAGAACTTTGAAATAACCTAGAAGTTTCTGTGACGAGAATCTTGATGAATTGCCTAGATCAGACTAACCTGTAGGCATGTCTGTGGGGGTTGTCTCAATTGTTAATTGATATGGGTGGACCCAGCCCATTGTAGGTGGCACCGTTCCCTAAGTAGGTGGCCCTGCACTGTGTAAGAAAGTCAGCTGAACACAAACTTGCCCACCACCTGGCAGACAACATCCTGCTTAGTTCCTGCCAGGCATCCTTGGCCCTAAAGTGAGTTTCTTGGTCTGAGGTAGTGCTCCATGGAACGACAAGCAGGCTGCCTTCAGATTCCTGCTCTGAGTTCCTGCTTGGCATCTCTCCATGACGGCCTGTGACCTGGATCTGTAAGCCAATAAACCCAGGGTATTTTATGACAGCCACAGAAATGAAACCACAGCTTAATTCTGTGGGACAGGGAGGGGCAGGTACCTGGCTGCCTGAATACCCAGGAGGGTCGGGGGTGCCCTGGGCTGGGACTTAGAAGACAGAGGCATCACTCACTTTGAGAGTATGATCCAGTATACATCAGGATGGACCCGTCGTAGTAGCCACTCGTTGTTTCCTGGGGATGGAAAGAAGGTACGGAAGTGGGCAGGGACAGAGCCTTCCCTTCCATAGGGCAGTGTTTCCAAGAGGAGAGGAAAGACTGTGAGCTGAGCTCTCCATGGCCACCTGCGGAGAGTGGCTGGGAGCTACCCATGGAACAACTTTTGTGTTTGTGTCATTCAAGACCTAAAGTTCAAGTCTGGGTCTAGTCCTTCAACCAAGTCAGCCCTATTTACTCCCCATTTATCATTTCTGACTTCCTTTGTGCTATCAATATCAATGCTGAGCACTGGTGATGTCCAGGGGTGGAGAGAGCACCCGGTGTTAGCACAGCCTGACCAGGAACCTGGAATGCTCTGGCATGGGGAGGGCTAGTTTCCTCACTGCTCTTATAAACAACCCCCAGGATCTTCTTGTTGGTAGAATTGTTTCCGTGAAACTATCTTGTGTGAACACTTGTCTCTAGTGTTAATGCTTGCCCACAGTCTCACTGGAGGTCACCTCCAAATGAGGTTTTCCTCAGTTAGATTAGGAATTGGTCATTCTTGAAATAATGTAGAGAACACAGCCAGTTAGAAAGCCTGCTTCCTATATACAGGTTTATTCGTCTTCCTCTAAATTAGCACAAGAACCCTGAGGTGCCTGACCCTGGGAGGCGTCTGATTCAGAGGGTTAAATCCCATGTTTACAGGAGATGTTCCTGGCTTTCTTGTTCTTCTTACATTTTACTTTGACAGGGTATAAAATGAATTTGCTAATTAGTTTTTCCTTCCTGGCTTGCCTTGTCTTATTGCTATAATCTGTCTCTAGCCGAATTTGTCAAGCCCACACTGCTTCTGAAGAGCAGATACTAAACAGCAGCACCAGCAACAACGTACACAACTTGCAGACAAGTTCAAGGGGCTATGAGCCGCTCTGACACTTGGCCAGGTGGTGACTGCCCTTCTCCCTTCTGCACAAGGAGTCCAGGTACGTCACCACTAGGGTCCCTACTTCTTGTAAGAATAGTTTCCCTGACTCACTTGGAACTCATGTGTGCAACACAATGTAGCCATTCAGAAGAACCAGGGATGAGACCTCTATGTGTTGCCCTTAACAAACGCTGACTGTGTGTGTTTCCATTTTTTATAATTAATGTTTGGAGGAAGGTTTGGAACTCTAGTTTATTCTTGGTTCATATGTAGAAATGTGAAGGCTCTGGGGTTCCCAGGAGTGTGACCATTAGTTAACATGAATTTAAGTGGGAAATTCATGTGTATTTATTTTTAAGGGGGTGTTATCCTTGTGTGCGTTGGAAAGCATACAGTGTCAGAGCTGGGATTCATTCCAAAGTGTTCTCCATTGGAATCATTATGACTGGAGATGGAGGACAATAATTCACTATGTGGGCCTTTTCAATATATAGGACATGATCTCCTGCCTGAGAAGGACTTTTCAGATCAGTTGGCTTTGCCCATCTATCGGAATGAGATGCTTACTTCCCACCATGTATGTGCTTTTTAATACCTAGGTACATAGACTTTTAGACACTTGTGGTTAGAAGGCCATCTCCCTCTCGTGGAGTACATCCTATGCAAGGCCAAAGCTCACTTAAAGAGAAAACCATCATCACTGGTTATTCTCTCTCAAAGTAAGAGGCTCTGCCATTTCCTATCAGAACAACCCGAGCTGGCCCAATGATGTCCAAGCCATCAGCTCATCCCAGGTAGCTGTCCCTAGATTCTGGAGATGTGCCTGCCAACCTGTACTGTGCACAGACAGGACTTGGTAATTTGCTTTTAACACAGAAGAATGAGACAATCATCCAAGTTCAAGAACCACTGATCCATTTCACTCTCAGCAAATGAGTGAACTCAACTATGCAGTCACAATGACTCATCCATCAAATCTGCGGAGGCCTTTGATTTGACTGCAGCAGTGGCTTCTGCTCTCTGTGAATTTCTGATGGAGTCTACTGACCCGACGGGCAGTCTGAAGGGTGCTACCGTTGCCTGCAGCTTTAGACGACATCTGGAGCTAGGAGCAGTTTCTCTAGAGAGTCGCATTCAGTGTCTGCGTGTCCTTCCATCACCTTCTCTCACATCCTGTCAGTTAAGACCAGTTTCTCACCAAGGAATTATTTACCACCTCTAACCTTTGAACAGAGAGGAGTGGCTAGGAGGGTAAATGTGACTGTGACTGGTTTCTCGCAGTCATTGATTGATAATGACACCCTGGGAAAAGTAAACAAAATACAGAGAGTTGAAACAAAATTACAGACTCATCATGGACTTAGTCATGATTTCTTCTCCTCCAAACAAGAAAAACAGTGAGGCTTCAGAATGACTTCCAGTGATCCCCAAGTCCTTGGATGGTATCATGCACAATGCCAAGGACAGGACAGTCAGCAGCAGAAGTATATGGCTTTCAAGGTTGGGTCATTGAAGATCTGTGGTTTCATCTCTGCCCTCTTTTGTCTCTGCTCTAGGAACCAATCACAGCATTTTGAGGACAGTTTGAAGCCACCACCACCACCACAAAGAGTCCCACATCGTGACTAAACAAGGCTCCTGCAACAGCCAGAGTTCCCTCACCAGGATCCTGAGCATCTCATCTCGGAAGGAGTCCTCCAGTCCTAGTACCTCGTGAACACCCTCTCTTGCTCAATACTCTCATGTACGTCTGAAACCAGGAAATTGCAAGATAATTAGTGCTTATTGTTTTAGGTTTAAGTGAAGGGATACTTTGTTATGTAGTAGATAGTTAATGTGAATGTTGAATTACTGTTTCACATGATGCTAATCTTGTTTGTCAGGGGATAATTGTGAGTTTCTAGAATGGAATACAGGGAAAGACAAGATTTGAAACAGGAAAAAGTCAAGGCCAGTAGGAAGATTCCTTCTAGTACAGGGCACAGATTCTACAGAGGTCACACTGTTCAGAACATAGCATCTCTACAGAGATCACACTGTTTAGAACATGAACTCTGCTCAGTGATCACAACTGTCAGGGCATTGCATCTCTACAGAGATGATAACTTGTTGAAAAAGAGGGAACATGAGCAGGGGTCTGATCCCTGACTCCCAGGGGAACAAGTGTCACGGTGTCTCTTTCCCTCTACAGTCTAGAGAACTCTTTCCTTTGTGAACCGCAGGGAACATTTTATTCCTCCTGGGTAGTATGGAGAGCAACTGTGTACCACAAAAAAGCCATTTTGTGTAAGATGCTTCTATCCCAGTGGCAGAGAGCTGGACATCAGGGAGAAATGACTTCCCTGGCAAAGAGCAAGGCACTGGCCACCTTCACCTGGGGCTTGCTCCTTCCAGCCTTCAGCCGGGGACCTCTGCACATGCTCTGCCCTATCAGGTCGTCTTAGGAGACACTGTCCTCTGTGACTGCTGTTAGCAGTTATCTCCGACCAAGTACCTTGAAAGAATAAATTATTGCCTTGTAGTTCTAGAGCTCGGAAGTCCCACAGCACACAGCTGGCCCCGAGTCCAGGCGTGGCGGGGCTGTTTCTCCTGGGACCTCTAGAAGAGGATCCTTTCCCTGAATTTCTTGAGGTTGCCCACATCCCTTAGCTTATCCCTTCTCTGTCCCCCAAGTGAGCAATGTGGCCTCCATCTGACCTTCAGATATAAGATGTAAACCCCTCTTACTGCAGCAGGGGTAGAGTCTTCATTTCTGAGAGTCTGGATGGCCATTCTAGGCTCTCCTGGACAGTTCAGGATACTCACGACATCATAGGAACTTGAACCACCTCTGCAAAGGAAGGTCAATATTTATCAAAGACTTCAAGTCTGATCGTGACAGATGTTTCCTTTTTTAATATATCAAATTATTACTTATTTTCATTTTTTTTAATTGTGTGTTCTGTGTATGGGTATGCGTATGTGAATGCAGGTGCCTCTGGAGATGAGAGGCATCAATTCTCTGGGATTGGAGACACAGGCAGATGTGTACCTCTTCATACAGGTGCTAGGAGTGGATTCAGGTTCTCTGGGCGAACAGCAAGTCCTCTTAACTGCTGAGCCTTCTTTTTAACCTCCTGCTTTTAATACTAACAAGAAAGCTTCCAAACGATCTACCCCAGGACAACCCCTTCCTTAAAGTCAAGCCCTCGCATCTTTTCTCAGGTGACTATCTATTGAGTAATGAATGCTCCCGTCTGGAAACATGTATCCTGTCTCCCTGTACTCTGTTTTGCCTGCCTATGATTCAAGGCTGATTTTCTTGGAGGCCCTGATTTAATTGCTTCGAGGACTCATCTGTGTCTTTGATGTAGTTAAGAAAGCCACCTAGGACATCCCTCTGTTTTAAGTGGGCATCTAAAAGTACCCAGTCTTTAGGCTTAGGGCACTGCCTCCAATTGGAGCATATCCGTGTTCTGGGAAGGACATGGCTTTGCCTGTTTGATTTCCTACTGTGAACTTCCATGGGGCGGGGGGGGGGGCAGTTCCTCTGTGTCAGTACTGTCACTGGGATAAAATATCAGGGAAGCAAGATTTTTTTTCAGTCTCAGTCCATCAGCAGGGAAGGCATGGAGTGGGTGTGAGTGGCAGGGCTCTTCACACCAGAGCGAGGGAGAACTGGGAAGCTGAGGAGACCTCCACACCCCAACCCCTGCAGCAACCTACCTCCACCAGCCAGACCCTAATCCTCCCCAAACAGTGTGACTGGCTGGGGGTAAGGTATTCAAGCATATGTGGGGACATCATACACTCAAACCAATATATTGACCCTTTTCCAATCCCCTTTACTATTGAAATTTCTGTATTGTTACAGCCCTATTAAAACACTGTGTTTTTAATTTTATTCAGTGTTTTCTCTGTGATTGCATTGTGTTTTTATTCGTTGGCAGGTATTTCTGGGGCATAACAAAGTAAATACATGCCAACCCAACATGCTCGCTCAGAAGCTTTGTCTAGATCCTGGGTCTCACCCCAGCATCCTCCCCCTTGTTCTGTGCAAGGATCCTAGCTGGGGCTGAATGCCTTCTCTGCCATTCTTTTACCATGATTTTCAAAGACTTATTTTCATGTATATGTTTGCATCTGTATCCACATGCATGTGGGTACCTGTTGTCTCTTCTGTGTCCACATCACTGCCCCACACAGCCCATCTGTGGCTTCCCATTGCCCATATCCTGGAGCCTCACTCGCCTGATGTGGCTTATGAAGCTACATGCATCACTTGTGATGTTTTTGTCTGTCCCCTTCATGTATAAAGATGCAAGTACTGGTCCAAATCCAAAGGGAGAGTCATTAAGTGCAAGAAGGTACCCAGTTTTGTTGGCCCTTGTTTACTTCACTGTTGTACTTTGGTCTCAAGCCTCTCCCACACTCCCCTTCTGGGCCTTTCCTGCCCTGTGCAGACACCCCTGTCACTGCCTCCCTAACTGGAACAGAACCAAGTCTTCCCTGTCTGTCAATGCACGTTACCAAGGGGAATGAGTTTGCAAGAGATAAAAAGTTGTGTTCTTCTGTCTCTCCTCAATGTCCTCTGTGATTTCTGTACAGAATTGAAGTTGTCACTTCCCCGCTCATCTCTCCAGAGGGTACTAGAATGTGTGCTCTCAGAGTAAGGAAGCAATGCTGATACATAGCCCAGAGTCACAGAGGACACTGGCCAACAGCAGGTCACAGCTACCTACTTTCTGGCTTCTTGGGCTTGGGGAGAACACCTTTTCCTGCCATCATTTCAGCATCCAGGGAAGTCTCCCGCCATCTGTCATCAGTGAGCAGCAGAGACAAGCTCAGCCCATGCTATAATTAAGAATCATAAAATCCTCTCGGACCAGATCATGTTCTGAATTTTTGTAGATAATAGAAAATGAAAGGCTTTGACAGGAAGTCTGATTTCTCCTTTATGGAGCTGGAACCAAGGATAAAGGATAGACCACAAAGCCACATAGATGAAAAGATACAAAGATGGTCCAAGTCCAAGGGAGAGTTGATAAGTACATGGAAGGTGCTCAGCTCATGACATAGCCTGTTTCCTATTTTTCTCCATGAAGATATGAATATGTGTGTTTATGTATGTGTGTATGTATTTATGGTGTGTGTATGTATGTGTGTATGAATGTATATATGTGTGTGTTTGTATGCATGTGTGTGCATATATGTATGTGTGTATGTATGTATATGTGTTGTATGTATGTTCCAGTGAAGGCTATAGATTGATGTTGGGTGTCCTCAGTTATTCTACACTTTATTTTTGAGACAACCTCTCACTGAACCTGAGCTTCTGAATTCAGCTTATCTTGCTGTCCAGTAAGTTGTGGGGACCTGCCGATATCCACCCCATATACATTCAGGTGTTACAGATATATACAGCAGCTAGCCTTCTGCAGGACTTGGTAGTCATTCGCTTTATCCATTAAACCTTCTTCCCAGCCTCTGAAGACACTGGACAATGGTTTCTATCTAGTATTGTTAAGAAATCAATTTCTAAGCCAAAGTGACACCTGCTCTGTTTCTCCATTGTTAATTTGTCCCTTTGCCCTACTGGGATGCATTAGGACTGTGGAGACACCCTCTCTCTGCTTCCTCCCTCACCCTCAATTTTACCACTTATCCGGCCTTGCTCCCCTGTCTTGTTGTGCTATTTTAATGGTGAATGCATTTTTTCCAACTTCATATTCTTTCACTGCAGTTCCTCTGCAGGAAAGAACCCACACTTCTTCCTTTTTTCCTGTTCAGGCATCTGTGTCTGCCAGCATGGGCGTGTGGATGTTTGCTTTATTCTTTTCCTTCAACACCATGGGATATTTTCAGTTCCCTCCCCTTTCTTGTTTCTCTCCCCAACACTGGGAAGTCTAGTTCTCATCATCTGCAGAATTTTTATCTCTTTAATACCAGAGCACAAAACTCTGTAGGTTCGGAGGTCCAGACTCTTGGGATTTTCCTTTTACTTGCAGCTTATGAAGTACTTTGTCCTTCGAAAGGTTATTTATTTGTCTCCTTCACTGACAAGATTGTTTTCTTTTATTCCTCCTTTTTCCCCAAAGCATAAAGTTGAAATAATAATTTTTACACCAGGTAAGCATGGGACGTGAAAGGAAGCTTGCTGTTTACAACGAGCAAAGACATTCACCAATAAATACATTTTGTCTTTCATTCCTCATCTCAAACACCTTGCCATTTGTCCTCCAGTTCACAGCCAGCAAAGTCTTGTGGAGATCTGGTCAAGGTCTTACAGTTTTTGAACTTGGGATTTCAACTATCTATGGACACATGATCATTGTCACAGTGTAGTGCGACAGGGCATCTTCACAGCTGTGGGTTGGGATGCTTTGACAATGAGACGATTGCCAAACTGTCCCCCCTTCCTTCCTGCAGAGGAGATACCCTGGCCACCTAGCCACCTTGTCAAGGCTCTAGATATGGAACACAGAAGAAGTGATAGGAAATAAAAACCCCTGAGTTCTCATGTTCTGGACTCTTGTTTAAAAGGTTTTCTTACTATTTTTATTTTTATGTGTATGAATAGATGCCTCATGGGTGCAGGTGTCCTCATGGTTCTGAAGGCGGCTTTGGAGCCTCTGGAGCTAGAGATGATTGTGAGTCACTCATTGTGGGTCCTGGGAACCCAACCTGGGTCCTCTACTAGAGCAATAAGGGTTTTTAACCATGGAGTCATCTTTCCAGCCCCGTGAAATACACTTCGTGTGTAGAATTTTCCCAACATAGAGAGAAATACAAAGTCATGAAGCAAAATCTCTACTTCTTCATGTATGAAAATCTTGAGTGAAGTATCTATCATAGGAGATTCCAATGAAATGAACCTAAACATTTTCAAAGTCTTCTGTTTTGTTTCTCAACATACAGAGAGTTCTGTTTGTTGGTGGTGGAGGTCACACAAAGTGGCCAATGGCAGTGGATTTTTATTTAGGCTTCTTTAGGAGAAGATAAATAAGAAAGGTTAGAAGATCTATAAGAAGAACTTGTCCTATCTAAAATCAATTAAATTAATAAAAAGCAATTAATGCGCAAAACAAATGATCACTATGCATTTTTTCTCATCCCTCATTTGATTCAGATGCCTCCTCAATACTGTTTTCACAACACCAAACTAAAAAAAAAAACTTTTTAAATGCTTTGCAGATATCACTCCATCTCATGGAACTTTAGAGGGACAAAATATAAGAAAAGGTTACTCTGATGAAAAGGACTAATTTCAAGTAAAGAAGAGAAGGACTGTGTCATGTGCCAGAGGAAGAAGTCTAAAGAAAAGAGACAGTGCACATTAGAGGATTGGAAAGCACACACATAGATTTGTTTTTATCTGTGTAGTTTCGCTTTTGATATGAATACAAGATATTTGTATATCACTTAAAACACAGCCACACTTTGTCCCCAGATTCAGTCACACTCCATTGTCAGACTTTCAAACAAATAAGCAAACAAAACAAAACAAGAGGCTGGAGAGGTGGCTTGGGAGTCAGGAGCAGATACTGTTCTTCCAGAGGACATGAGTTTGATTCTTAACCCGCACACCATGTACTCACAACTGCTTGTAACTCTAGCTCCAGGTGGCTCTGACACCTCTGGCCTCCATGCACACCTGTACTCACCTGTACACACTCACACATGGGCACATAAGTAGAAAAAATAACTAGACTGCGATCACAGAGACTATCAAATTTTATCAAATATTTTGGTCTGTAAGTAGAATCTGATCGGTTTGTTTGGTAGAAATGAAACATCTCTCTGAGGTGACGTCACAGTTGCTGACCACTGACCCTAGGAGTCAAGCGGCAG